GAGAAGAGAGAGAAGAGAGAAAGGCTGGTTCGAATTAGGGAAAAAAGTTAAACCCTTGATTCGGCCAGACCTGTTATTATATTATTAACTTATTGGAAAAGAYTYGAGTGCCCTTCTTTAAGTAAGAGGCACTCGAACTAATATAACAGTACACATCAGCATTCTCAACAAGTACAAAGACTGAAATACCCCTTCACTAACACCACTAACACCCTTAAAGGGGCAGCCAGCTCATAAACATACTTAAAATAGTAAATACAAAAGGTTAACAGGCAATGATGCACTAGGAACCATTAACATAACCAGTAAAAGACAAAAAAATAACACAATGATGCACTAGGGCCCATTTGGCCCAGTCTCTCTACAAACGACAAGAGATAAAGAACATGAACACACTCTGAATCCCTTAAACCTCTCTAAACACCAAGATTCCATGAAAAAAAATCAAGTTCGAAGGGGAAATGAAAGAGGAGATGGGATTTGTTTTTAGAAGTGAAATGGAATATAAGTCAGGAAACCGATCTTTCAAGAGACCATCTCCCTGAAATGAAATATTAGTCAGGAAACTTAATCTACCCATTTCTAACTTCCAGTCATTTTCTAAAGGCCTTATCATAAATGCTAAATATTTTGTGGTGTTTTTCTAGTATCTATAATTTTACAATGTTTCTTTGAGCTTGCATAAACTTCCATGAATTAATTCCACTTCCACATGGACCAAAGTTTACACTAAAACCAAATTTTAAAACCTTGATATATGACAGGTCAGTCTGCCATATAAGAGCCTAAGAGTAGCACCCCAGCATAACCCTCTATTACACATTCACACCTAAGAAATTGATATCTCCAATTAGCATGCAGACATATCAGAGCCTAAGAGTAGTATCCCAGCCTAAAGATGCTACTTTTGTTTCTAAATTAGCACCACAAAAGAAAGTACTAGTGGAATAAACCAAGAATTACGTGAACACAATACATAATCATATATACTTCATAGAGTAAAATTTAAGAAAACTTTTTGGGGCAGAACCTTGATGCAGCCATATCATCAGTATATCCCCTAAATGATTGTCTATCACCACTAAGCATGGACCTTCCACGTCCTCGAAATAAAGGATGTTCTGGACTGCAAAAACAATAACTAGTTAAGAACTAAAGAAGTACACAGATTAAACAATTATGTTTTATGACTAAAACCAAGCCAGTGCATAGATTAACTTTATTGTGCACAATATTTTTTGAGGGTAAAGGATTGTGAGATGCCCTTTGCTTCAGTGTTGTTCAGTTAGCTTGAAGGTGTCTCCCTTGATTCTCCCTCCCTATATTGTAGAACTTGAAGGGCCAATTCCTTGGGCTTTTACTCATGTGCTTCCTTCTTTCACATCATTTTACCTGCTCCTCCCCCCTCCCCAATGGCCCTCCAAGTTCAAACTTTTGATGATAAGTAGGACATTACCCAATATTAGTCCTAGCTATCCAGGGTTTTGGGAGGGGTGAACTGGGATAAGGTCCTAACCTTTGGCCTTTTTTTTGCACAAAATGGCCAATCCAGGCTCAAACCGGCATTCTAACACATGACAGCCCGAGGTTTACCACTGCACCAAGTAATGGCCCCTTTGTTAATGCTATTTGGAGGTTTTCAATCTCTTTGGATGCGAATGGGCAGCTCCCCTGCACTAGGACTAGGGAAGCCTTCTTTCAATTTCTTTAATCAATTCCACCCCCCCCCCCCCCAGATGAGAGGTCATGTTCTATGGAAGTGCTCAAGGGCCATCTTATGTTCTATTTGAGAAGAAAGGAACTACAAAACTTTAAATGATAAATCACTCACAGTAAGAAAGTCTAACTACATTATAATTTAAAGACTACATGTGAAGATATACCTTGATGTACACTATTAGAGTAGTCCTTGTTGTACAGTATCATATTCTTATTATTTTATTTGTTCTTTTTATCTTTCAGCCCTGTAAGGGCATTCTTGTAACTGTACATATCTTTTATCTCTTTAATATAAAAGAGACTCTTTGAGGTGGGGGTCGACTATTCTTGACACCCCTAATTCTGTTTTCTTCTTGCTCATTCAGTTCACACGGTATCAGAGCAGGCTGCCCTTTGAGCTTCTTTCTCTCTGATCCACCTTGTGTTCTTGATCCATTGAGAACTTGCATCTCTGCTGATTGGTCCTGGACAGTTTTGATCTTTCCAGGAACCATTTTTCTGTTTTCTGCGCATCCAGAGAGAGATTTTATTGGATCTCTCTCGTTTGACATCCGTTTGCAGCAAAATTTGAAAAGAGTTGTCGTCTAGCCCTTCTCAACATACTCTGAAAGTTTTATTGAGATCCATGAAGTTTTGAGAGAGATCTGGACTCCTCTTCTAGGCAGCTGCGCCCAGACTTTCCTTTTTTGGACTGTGTGTGCAGTTTTCTTCTCCTATTGGATCTTGAACAATCTCCGGTGAAAGTAAGGGGTTTCTTTCTCAGTTTTTGACTCTCTTGGATTCAATTACAGCTTATTTCACTCATTTTTTATCAAGTTTTACTTCAGTCTAGTTCCTTTAAACTTCAGCCGAACCGTATTTTGTGTTATTTTCTTGCTATAATAGCTTTAGACAGAGGTGATATCATTCCTGTGAAGATGAATGGACAGAAATATGGGATGTGGAAATTCCATTTTGACTTTTATATTGAAGGGAAAGGTTTAGAAGGATATCTGAATGGAACGGTCACTAAACCAGCTGAGACCGAGGCCAAGGCTTTACGACAATGGAAGTTGGACAATGGTAAGCTTGTTTCTTGGATTCTGAGTTCTATTGATTATCATATATCTGTACCTATGAGGAGAATGAAAACAGCCTATGAGATGTACTTGTATCTGGGAAAAGTTTATCAACAGTCCAACATATCTAAACAGTACCAGATAAAATCAGAAATATTTTCCTACAGCCAAGGAGATAGGAGGATACAGGAATCGTATTCTGGTTTTCGTGATTTATGGGTTGAATATGAGATTGTTCACATTGAACCCTCGGATCCAGTAGAGTGTGTGAAATATCTTCAGAAGCACTTTGAGAAGAGAAAGGTGACTCAGTTCTTGATGGGACTTAGACCTGAATATGAGATAATTAGGTCCAACATTTTGAGTAGGGGAACACTTCCAGATATGGATTCTGTTTTAGGGGAACTTCTCATGGAAGAGACTAGACTTCTCACTGCAGCCGGGTTTGATGGGAAGATGGCTGAAGTTGGGGCTGAAACAGCCTTTGTTGCTCATGGGGGTAAGAATCCAACCTCCAAGGATTTCTCCAAAACCCAGTGCTATGAGTGTAAGGGTTTTGGACACATTGCATCTCACTATAAAAAGAAGAATGTGTGCACCTATTGCAAGCAACATGGTCACATCATTCCAGACTGTCCATTCCAACCAGCTAAGGGTTCTGAAAAAAAGACTCAGCCCCGGGCCTATCAAGCAGCAGATGGACAAGCAATAGACATTGTATCCACCAAGGGTGATTCTTCAGTTAAATGTGATTCAACAGGTATCATGGATGAAGAAAAGGTTCGGCAATTGGTACTTCTGCTATTTCCTCTGCTTTCTCTGCTATTGGCTTGTCTGGTAAGTTCTTTGCATATTGTTCTTCCCCTTCACATGCTTGGATTATAGATTTCAGGTGCCACCAACCATATGACAGGAGCCTACCTCAATCACCCAAATCCTTCCACTGAAACTCACCATAAACATATTATTACTACCAATGGTGAAAAGTTAGACATCATTGGTAGCAATGATTTGTCCCTTCAACTGTCACCAACCAGATCCTTCCCTCTCTCCAAAACCCTCTTAGTACCCAACCTTACTACTAATCTGATTTCTGTTGGCCAACTTGTTGATGAAGGAAATGTTCTCACCTTTTCTCATGATGGTTGCTTGATACAAGACCGGTACACTGGGAAGGTGAAAGGGAAGGGGCATAGACTAGGCCGTCTGTTTGCACTGGAGTTCGAGAAATCTCAATCAGGAGCATCCTCAATTTTACTTAGTTCTTCTTTGTCTGATTCTCTGCGGAGTTATAGAAATAATATTTGGGATTTATGGCATAAACGGTTGGGTCATCCATATTCCCAAAAATTAAAATTTTTGTTTGAATCTGGTTTGATTAAGAATAAAATTCCTCCTGTTCATACTTTTAATGTTTCTTGCACTACGTGTTGTTTGAGTAAAAGTCATGTTTTACCATTTCTTTATACATCTGAACATGCCACTAGACCTTTTGAGATAATACATAGTGATGTTTGGTCTGCTTCTATTACTTCATGATTGGGATACAGATATTTTGTATTATTTATAGATGATTGTACCAGATATACTTGGATTTATTTTCTGGGCACAAATCAGAAGTCTTTGGTGCATTTAAATTATTTCATACTATGGTGCAAAATTGATTCAAGTGCAATGTGACTATCATCCGCTCAGATTCAGGGGGAGAATATAGAAACAGAGATTTTTTGGCCTACTTGAGGAGTTATGGAATTCAGTCTCAGCGTAGCTGCCCAGACACTCCACAACAGAATGGTGTGGCTGAACGGAAGAATGGACATATTCTCAGTGTTGTGCAGACATTATTACAAGAATCTCATACTCCAACTTCATTTAGGGTAGAAGCAGCCAGTACAGCCGTATATTTGATCAATTTCCTTCCCTCCTCTGTTCTAGGCAACACTTCTCCCTTCCAAAAACATTTTGGTCATCCCCCAGATTTCTCTAGTCTTCATGTTTTTTGTTGTCTTTATTTTGTTCATCTTCCTGTTCGTGAATGATCTAAATTAACTGCTCATTCTGCTATGTGTTCCTTTGCGGGATATAATCATGACCATATAGGTTTTTTGTGCTATGCTCCTGCTATTCGTGATATTCGGATTTCCCGGATTGTTGTGTTTCTTGAACATATCTCCTTTATTGGGTTTGCTAGATTGTTTGCTCCTTCCATCTCTGTTTTTTAGGACTTTGATTCAGATGACACTACTACTTCATCAATTGAGAAAGATTTTCTCGTCTTCACCCGCAAGCAGCTATTTGTCCCGGCTCCTGCGCCTACAACCCCCATTCCACCCAGTCCAGAGCATCCATCTCCGACATCCTCTGTAAGTGATACCTTGACCCAAGATCCTTCTATTTCAGATAGTAGTTTGGTTATTCCACTTCGTCGTTCTACCGGTATTTCTCGACCCCCTGACCGCTATGGTTTTCCTTCAAACCATAGTTCATTTTTTAATGTACTTTCTTCCACAGATATCCCTAGATCTTATCAACAAGCCATTAAAAGTTCTCAGTGGAAAGAAGCCATGGATGTCGAAATTCAAGCCCTCCATGAGAATGATACTTGGGATCTTGTGCTAGCTCCTCCAGATGCTTCTATTGTTGGAAGTCGTTGGGTCTATACGATAAAACTGAAGTCAAATGGTTCCTTTGGTTGATATAAGGCCTGGTTAGTTGCCCAAGGATACAGTCAGAAATATGGGATTGATTATGAAGAAAAATTTGCCCCGGTTGCTAAGATCACCACAGTTCAGACTCTTATGGCCATATCTACTGTTCATTCTTGGACTATTTACCAATTAGATGTGAAGAATGCTTTTCTTCATTGTGAATTGAAGGAGACAATCTACATGAAACCTCCACCTAGATATTGCAGTGATCCTTCACGTGTCTGTCGCCTAAAGAAGTCTCTATATGGTCTGAAGCAAGTACCTAGGTCTTAGTTTGAGCGCTTTCGGGATGTTGTTGTTGCAGCTAGATATAACCAGAGTTCCTCTGACTACTCCCTCTTTGTTAAGAGAAGACCCCAGGGTATCACTATCCTTCTATTGTATGTTGATGACATGCTTCGAATTGGGGATGATCATGACGGCATTTGTGAGCTGAAGTCCTAAATTCATAACTCATTTCACATGAAGGACTTGGGTCCTCTTACTCCTTGGGTTTGGAGGTTCATCGTAGCAATCGAGGGTATTTTATTTGTCAACAAAAATACGCCTCCGATCTCGTCAAATTAGCTGGAATCACTGATGAAAAACATGTTGATACCCCCTGGAGCTGAATGTCAAGTTATCTAAATCCGAAGGCCTCA